CGGATGGTATAATCAACTCTAGATGCAATTCTAAACCAGAAGCTGGGAATTGAGAAGTTTACTCTGGACTTGGGTAACTTTCTCAAAATAATGCCAATCAATTTTAAATTAATGACGTTTCTCTCATTCTAACTTTAAAACAAGCTGTTCTTTATTTTGTTTAAAATTCTACAATAACATCATCATGGTACTTAATAAAATAAAATTTGGGGAAAAAATCAAATGAACTTAATATCTTTTTTTATTCTTATCATTGAATTTCAATTTGTCTGATTCACCTTCTAATATCTTCCCCTTTGTCCAGAAATATATGAAGACAGAAAGAACAAAGCAAAAAAGGTAGTGGTATGGCAAGAAGTTTGTATAAAAGCACACAGATATTTTAGTGTCTCTAGCTCTCTTTAGTTCTTGTCTAGAATGGATGATTACTGGGTCATTTTATGTCCTTGTGGCAGTCCATGCCATGAAGAGCTTAACAACTTTAAAAAATGGTCTATAATACATTGAGTTGATCTCTTATTTCTTATGGAGGGAGAACACTAATTTTTAAAAAAATTTGTATACAGATAAAATTTAAAGTTCTTCTGCAATAGTTTATGATCAGTTTATCTAAGAGTCTGTAAAAGTTTTTGATCCTTTTTTGAGACTGTTGTTTGGTTTGGGCCACATCCAGTGATGCTCAGGGGTTACTCTTGGCTCTGTACTCAGAAATTATTTCTGGCAGTGCTTGGGGATAATAATAAGATGCCAGGGATTGAACATAGATTGGCTGCATGCAAGACAAGTGCCCTATCTGCTGTACGATGGCTCTGGCCCCTGGTTTTTTTTTTTAAATCTTTAATCTAATTCCTCCTGCCATTGTTTTGTTTTCTATCCTGCATTTTATTAATTTCTTCTCTAATTGTCAATATTTTTTCCTACTTGCATCTGGGTTGAGTTTACTTGTTTCTCCAGTGTCTTAAAATGGAAGAGTGGTTATTCATTTGAGATATTTCTTGTAGGGGAGAGGGGAGGAAGCACTGTATTTCCTTCTAAGCACTGCCTGAGTTGCATCCCATGAGGTTTGGTGTGTCGCTTGGAAAGGCCTCATTTCCCTGTAGACCTTTTTTCTCCAACCATTAGTTACTTAGGAGCGTGTTATTTAATTTTCACCTATTTGTGCAGTCCCCAAATTTGCCTCTGTTTATCTCTAATTTCACTTCACTAAATGGAGAACATCCTCCGCCCCTCTCGGAGAGCCCGGCAAGCTACCGAGAGTATTTGATATGCCAGACACAGTAACAACAAAGTCTCCAAAGGAGACGTTACTGGGCCCGCTCGAGCAAATCGACGATCAACGGGAGGGCCTTTACCTTACCTTTAAATGGAGAACATAATACTCTATAGCTCAATTCTTTCAATCCTGAAGCTTGTTTTATTTTTATTTTTGTTTTTTGGGCATTACCTGGCTGTGCTTGGGATTTATTCCTGGCTCTGTGCTCAGAGATCACTCTTTTTTTTTTTCTTTTTGGGTCACACCTGGCGATGCACAGAAGTTACTCCTGGCTTTGCACTCAGGAATTACTCCTGGTGGTGCTCAGGGGACCATATAAGATGCTGGGAATTGAATCTGGGTTAGCTGCGTGCAAGGCAAGCACCCTACCTGCTGTACTATTACTCCGGCCTCTCAGACATCACTCTTAGCAGTGCTGAGGGACCATTTGTGGTGCTGGGGATCGAACACGTGCTGGCTGCATGCAAGACAAGCACTTTACTCTCTGTTCTATCTCTCTAACCTTGAGGCTTGTTTTATGACTAAGCATCTGGTCTTACTTGGTCTTACTTGAGAATGTACATTAAAGAACAATGATCATTTCCTCCTTTCTACTATTATTTATATTAATAATTTATATTATAAACTATAAATCAATAATAGAATAGATCATATTATTTATATTAATATATTATGTTTATATCTATTATTCTAATCTAACCCCATCAACGGCCAGGATCCAGAGACTCTAAAACCAAGCTCTCGGAAGAGAACAAAGCAGAGTCTTCTGCCCCCACACCTGGCTGTCCTCACCGGGGCTCCTTGGAGTAGGGCGGATTGAGTTTCTCTCTCCACCCTGAGCAGAGCCCCAACAGCTAAAGACCTCCAGGACCCAGCCAAAGCCATGCTGAGACCACTCTCCACATGCTTGGACAAGGAACCAGCAGAGGAACCCAGGTGTGCGGGACGTGGGGCTGAGCTCTCCAAGCCTGCTCGGTTTGGGACTGGGCCTCCTCCACCCAGCTCCCCACCTTCCAGTAGCTAGGCAGTTAACACCCACCAACTGCCTGTAACCCCATCAACGGCCAGGATCCAGAGACTCTAAAACCAAGCTCCCGGAAGCACGCGGGAGCTCTAGTTCTTATTCTCTAGTTTTCACTCTCAGAGAACCCGGCAGGCTACTGAGAGTATCATACCCGCCTATATGCCTGACTAGGAACACCTGTAAAGGTGATTAGAGGCTGCCCCAAAAGCTTCCATGCCTCTCAGAGAGCCCGACAAGCTACTTAGAGTATCCCGCCCGCATGGCAGAGTCTGACAAGCTAACTGTGGTGTACTCGATATGTCAAAAACAGTAACAATAAATGGTCCTCATTCCCCTGATCCTGAAGGAGCCTCCAATATGTCATCGGGCTACACTAGCACATGACAGGGATGAATGGAGACATTATTGGGTCTGCTGGAGCGAATCAATGAACAACCGGGTGATAGTGATAGTGATAGTGATTCTAATCTAAATTAGTTTTAATTTCATCCTCTACACCTAGGTTCTTTTTTTTTAGGGAGTGATCGCACTTGGCAGTGCTCAGAGTGTGCTGCATAGTCCCCAAGTTCCTGGCTTGGGGACTAAGCAGCACAGGGAATAAAACCTGAGGCTCCCACATCAAAACATATGTGCCAGCCCTTTGAGCAATGTCCCCTTCTGCTAGTGTCTTTCTTCTTCTTCTTTTGGTAGGGGGTTTGGCTTTAGGGTCACACTTGGCAATTACCCGGAGTATTCCTGGATCTGTGCTTAGGAGTGACCCCTGGAGCTTTGAGTTACAGAACTTTTCTCAGCTCAAGGCTCACATAGGGTGATAGAGATCAAACTAGCGATGAGAGCATCCTGCAAGACTAGTTCTTACCCCATAGTAACTCTGGACCTTTTCTAGTTTCTCTGACCTTTGTTTTGCTTTTGTTTCTGGGACACACTTGGCAGTGCTCATATGTTACTCCCAGCTCTGTGCTCGGGAGTTACTTCTGGCAGTGCTCGGGAGACCATGTGGTGCTGGAGAACAAACCCAGGTCTCCTGCATGCAAAGCCTGTGCTCAGCCTGTGGAGCTCTCTCTCTAACCCTGAGATATTTCTCTTTTCATTATTTTCATTAAAAAAAAAGTGACATTGCATTGTAACAGAAATTTCCGTCTGCATCCTTAAATGTCAACATCTGTTGATGTTGTTTACCACCAATTCTATCCTTCATCTGACCCCTTTAATATGACGGACCATTCCTTTCTGTTAACACTAACTGGTCTTATAGTCAAAATAGGTCTTTTGGTTATATTTAGGTCATTTTTTGTATATTGATACTATATTAAGTAAGTAAGTAAAGTAAAGGCCCTCCCGTTGTTCGCCGATTTGCTCGAGCAGCCTAGTAACGTCTCCACTGGAGACTTTGTTGTTACTGTGTTTGGCATATGGAATACATCACGGGTAGCTTGCCAGGCTCTGCCGTGCAGGCGAGATACTCTCAGTAGCTTGCTGGGCTCTCCGAGAGGGGCGGAGGAATCGAACTCGGGTCGGCCATGTTGGCTGTGTGCAAGGCAAACGCCCTACCGCTGTGCTATTGAAGATGATACTATATTAACATTTGTATTTTTATTGAACATTTGTATTTTTATTGAATGCAACAATGTACAACCTCCCTCCCTGCCCCTCCTCCCCCCACATGCACACTTTTTGATACCTGTGTGATTATAGCACAGAATGAATGTTGTGGCAGTTGGGGAGATAGTTCAGGGATTAAGGAACTTGCCCTGCAAAGCAGCCAACACTGGTTTTATTCCCAGTACCACATAAGGGCTCTCAGCATTACCAGGTCACTTCTGAGCTCAGTCAGGAACAGGCCTCGAGTGCTGCCAGGTATAACCCAATATATGCTACCTACTGTCTCCTCCCTTTAAAGCCCCAAACACCACAAAGAAAACCAAACCACCCCTGAGTTGTGGAAGACTACAATCCCTATCGAGCACCAAAACTAAGTGGATAAGCATCAAGAACTCTAGCAGCAGCAACAAATAAGTGGTGGAATTTTTAAATTAAGTAGTCTCAGCATTTAAGATTTTGATATATTGGCCAAATTGTCAGCTTAGAAGGACTGCTGTATATTAAATACTATCAATCCCATTTCTCCGAACCCTTGCAAACACTTGGTTGTTGGTGACATTTTACAGTTTGCCAAATTCATACTTGAAAAAAATAATATTTAATTATTTTGACCCAAATTATGCTGTAGTCATGTAGGGGTTTTTTTTTTTTAAAGATCTGAAACATCTTCAAAATTGCTTAAAGTTGGACAATTGTTATAAGGCAATTTTGTGATAATTCTCCTTAATTTTTTCTTTGGATACTGACAATAGCTCTGTGCTATCAAGTTAGGCACTATATCCCTTTAAATTCACCCATTTCACTGCCAGGTTCGTGTATTTGGGTAAACAAATATATTTACTGCATGTAATTCTTCTCTTCCCCATCTATATCCTCCCTTTCCCAAGCAATGCTTTCCTTCCTCTGCTTCCTGGAGCCAGCAAGGCACTCTAACAAGCACTAAATGATGGTGAATTGGAGCAGCGCAGGGGTGCAGGCGAAACACATGTAGGCTTGGGAAGGCCCGTTCATGGCCCCAGCCCTGCCACAGGGCAGTCAGGCTTCGGTAGGTGGCACGAGAAACAGTCTCTTCTGAGGAGGTAGGTTATAAGCAGGGCCTACCTTCCGGACATGACAGGAGAAGAGGATATTCATATACTTGTCCTTCCGCTTCAATTCATTAGCGACGGGGACGAATGTGCCTGAGGTCTGCGGCGTATCTGGCTTCTGGAAGGAAAAGGGAATGTGGAAATGAGTCTTCTTCACGTTGTAGATGAAAAGGTAACCTCTCACCAACTCTAGCTATCTACTCAAGGAGTTTCACATGTGGACCCCGTGTCTTCCATCTCAGAGGGCAAGTCACTCAGGGGCTGTTTTGACTCCAAAGTGCTGTAACTAAGGAACGGGAGAGAGGATGAAATGGAGCTTGGGCATAAGCAGTGTAAAGGTGCAGGTAACTGAATATAATTTCTGAAGTTTACAAGGGGAGATTTAAATGCCAGGTTACAGAGTGTACCTAGTACATGTGGCCATAAGAAAAAGAACCCTTTCTATGGGGAGCGGTAGGGGGAAGAGGGGACACCAAATTTCTTACACTTTGAAGCAGTCAAATCTTTCTGCTTAGCACCTCTCATAGAACTTTACTTTCTGAAGACATCAGCCCTTACTGATTTTTTTTTCTTTTTTAAGAAAGAAAAGGTCTTCTCTTCCTTTCTTTCTTTCTTTTTTTTTTTTTTTTGGTTTTTGGGTCACATCTGGCGATGCACAGGGGTTACTCCTGGCTCTGCACTCAGGAGTCACTCCTGGCGGTGCTCAGGGGACCATATGGGATGCTGGGAATCGAACCTGGGTTGGCCGCGTGCAAGGCAAACGCCCTACCCACTGTGCTATCTCTCCAGCCCCAAGTCTTCTCTTTCTTTGGAAAGAGAACAGGAATAGATTCCACTTGGTTCTCCTGGACTTACAGAAGCGAGATAGTTGCCTTCCCAGGCCCTCTGGAGTCCAAGATCAGCCCTTTGGCCCTTCAGCATTTCCATGGCTGCAACTTTTGCCCTGACCTGGGGTAGATCTGAGGCAGGTATGCTCTTGATGAGCTGGGCGGCTCTCCACCTAGAAGGAAATGAACAAAGTGATGAGATTTTAGTGTTTATCTTCTGCAGTGCTGTAGACTAAACCCCCGGGTTCATGCATGCAAGTCATGTGCACATAAAATCATATGTAATTTAACAGTTTCTGTGCATATTTTGGAAACATTTTACTCTCTCTTTTTTTTTGAGGGTGGCATATAGGTACTTTGATCTAATTCTAATTAATGGAATTAGTTAGAATTGAGCCACTGAGCCACACATCCAGCCCCTAGGAGACTTTAGAACGACCCCCCACACACACACCCCAAAGCTGCCATTAATTAGAATTAGACCAAAATACCTGTATGCCACCCTAAAAAAAAAAAGAGAGTAAAATGCTTCCAAAATATGCACAGAAACTGTTAAATTACATATGGTTTTATGTGGACAAATGATTTTTGTAAAGCTTGCTTTGTGGTTTGCTTTGGAAGCAAAGAGAACTTGGTGAGCCGCAGGCTTAATGGTAGTGATGTCAGGACACAGGAATGCTGGCGGCATCATCCAATCACTACACTAGAGGCACCTACACACTCCAAAGTCTGCGCTAGACAGTGGAGGCACAGCAGTTAGTGGGCCAATGAAGGCCTTTAGAATGAAGGGAGCTGGTGGGGCTCCACTTCAGTGGAACTCTGATGGCTGTGTGGCGACGGGTCAGGTGGGATGGGACCAGGATGTCCTGTAAAGGCTCTTTCTATAAGGTGAAGGCCAGGTGTGAAGACTGATGCTTGATCAGGGACGGGGAGCAGGTCTTGGTGCTAGATTTGTTCTCAAGTGGCCCATAAGGGGATGCTGATGGATCAGATGTGGGAGCCAGAGAACAAGGGAGGATTTGAAGATGATACCAAGGATCTATCAGCCTTATTCTGGAGACTCATAGATATATCTCAAAAGAGATCAACTAGCAGCAAAAATGTCTTTGACTGGCTGGGATATCTGGGGCACTCTTAGAGGAAGCACCACAAAATCACAGCCATGCCTCTGGCCAGACTCACCTCAAGACCGAACCTCAGAGAACTAATCCTGCTGAAAAACTCAGGTATCTGGGTCACTGTGGTTGAAAACTACAGGCCTTCTCGAAGTCTGGATGGGCTACCTCTCATCATCTCCCTGTACTCCTGTAAGCCCCAGCAACCATGCTCACGAACTACCTCCATCACCACGTAAGCTCATCTCCACCTTGTTCTGAGACTCATAAATCAATATCAAAAGAGATCAACTAGTTGTAAAAATTTCTCAGCCCAGTTAAAAATTTAACTCCAACTGGATGCCCAGTTAAGAGATTCTGGATTTTCTGGAAGGTATGGCTGCATTTTTGACAATGTGGTATCTCCAAACTCTACAACACTGACAATGCAGTAGAAGAACACCAGATTGGTTGGGGTATAACATAGTAGAAGCTAACCAATCTTGATGAACAAAAACATTAATACAGAAGGCTTAACTTGTAACAACATCTTAGTAATCCCTCAGACATAGACTTAATGCCCTATGATAGATACAATTTCCACAATTCTCTTCTCTCTAAATACTTTTTGATCATTCTGTTTGCCATTTATTGGTACCAAGAAATATAAAATAAATTACTGTGGGTCTGCTACAGGAGCAGGCCTGAGGAGTGGTTGGCAAAATGGAGACAATGATTGAGGGAAGGTGATAGTGGTAGTGGGATTGGTGTTGGAATCTTGACTGCCTGGAACAAATCATCATGAACAACTTTGCAGACCATGGTGTTTAAATAAAGTGTGTGTGGGGGGATGGGGGGTGGGGAAAGAAGACGACACCAAGGTATTTTAATCTATGGACCAGAAAGAATAACCTGAAAAAAAATCTACTCCAAGACAAAAAAAAAAAAGTAACAGATCTTTCAGACTCTTAGGGGCACTGAGCTCTACGGGAAACATAAGGCAGGTGGAGCAGACAGAACTTTACTGCATCAGAGTGGGTGGTTTTACTGCATCAGAGTGGGTGGCTTTATTGCATGTAGTGGATGGCTTTACTGCACCGGAGTGGGTGGGTTTCAAACTGCTTTCACAGAACTCTAGTATGAGATGCAGGTGCAGCAGAAAACTGGCGTTGCTTCTCATTTACCTGCGTAATATTGTTACTAGATGCTCTTCTTATGAGTTTTCCTGAGCCATGATGGTGCTTTGCACCTAAGTGTTTGATTTTCTCTCTTAAATTCCTTCCAAGCAGGGCCAGGGAGATGGTTCAAAGGGCTGGCACACCTACTCTGCATAGGGGAGCCTCAGGTTCCAATGCAGCACTGCCTGATCCCCTGAGCACTGTCAGGAGAAGCCCCTAGGCACCACCAGGTGTAGCCTTCAAATGTCCCCCAGGTTTCTATCAAATATATTTTACATAAATATATGCACATCATATATTAACTTAAAAATATATCACCAAATACATATAAGCAGTATAAGGAGAGAATCGAGAATAGCAGCAGAGAGTGAGAATGATGTCAATGAGCTGGAAGGCATGGAAACTCTGGGAGAGAGGAAGCAGATGGGAGAAGCTACAGGAAAAGCAGCTCAGAGTGGAGCACTTCAGCCAGCAGGGAGGTGGAGCCCCTGTGGAAGAGCGGGCCTGCAGTGAGGGTTGGAGTGAGGCGCTCCACAGGGGGGGAGCTGGCGCAGCCCTAGCACACGGCCTGGGAACGGTGGGAACCTGCCATGGCAGACTGGGTCAGTGAAGGAGACCGCCACAGCCACTGCTGTGGAAGTAAAGCCACGTCATGCCCAACAGCGGATCCCACGGCTCTGTTTCTAAAGATCCCAGCAACACACCAGTAACAATAGACCGTTTATAGAGCCTTCCAGAAGCAGCTGGAAGAATGACATGCTGGGAGTCATTGGTGGTTGAGGTCAGGACATAGGGGACCAACGTGTTCTACAGTATTCCAAGTGCCTTGCTGGGCAACCTGTCCACTCAATCCTGAGTCTAACTTTCCTTCCCGACAGGAAGAAATCTATCCACTGGTCTGTGTCCAGCCCATAGATTTGGTCAGTTTGAATCTCTTTCACTGTCCTGGTTCAGACAGGGTTCAGAGCTGATGATGCAGTGTGCCAGGACCCAGAGGTACGGACCACACAGACATGGGGCGTGCACAGCCGTCTCATCTGGAAGGGGCTGACAACCATGGCCACCGCTGTCACCGTCACTAGCCTCAACAATGTTTGTGAAGACAATGCAGGGGCTGAGGAAGCCTCCCTGCCTTCCCAGAGTGAAAATGAGTTATGATGAGGACCACTAGTGGCACAAATATACTCTGGAACGTTAGAAACAAATAATCCTGGAGTCATAGAGGTGGTTTTGTTTGTTTGTTTGTTTTTAAGTGCACTTGGCTCAGCAGTCCACAGACTACAAAAATTCAAGAAGAAAAAATTGTAGGGGAGAGAGTGACTCCTTCAGGGTTGGTAAATTATAGCTGGGGCAAATCTGGCCCATGTCCTGATGTCACATGATGCTCTTTAGCCACAAATAGTTTTCACATGTGCAACAACAACAAAACAACATGAAACAAGTGACAAAGACTATATATAGCCTACCAACCCTACAATATTTTACTCTCTGGCTCTATACAGAAAAAGGTTTGCCTGTGGATAGAATGAACTGGAAAGATTCATCCAGTGTGTGTGTATGTGTGTGTGTGTGTGTACACACGTTTGTACATGTGTGCACCCAGTGAACAGCTGGTGTGCCCCTCAACACATTACTGTGACTAAGAGGCCCCGGGAGAAAGGCTGGCTCTAACCTGGCTTGTGAGCACAGCCCTAGGACACAGCTTGGAACGTGCCTCACAGCAGGTGTGGAGTAATTCACACTGCACGAATAAATGGAATTATACAGAGATTCGCTCTAGATGACACAGGGAAAAATCTCTAAAAACAGAATCTAAAAAGGTGACAAAGGCCACAGTGCAACCTCATCAAAATCAATTCTTTGCGTCCATTAAAAGTATTACTTAGATCTGTGGGGCTGGAGAGACGGGATGGGGGTGAAGGTGAAGGCGCGGCGGCCAGCCTTGCATGTGGCAGCCTGGCAGCACACATGGTCTCCTGGGCACTGCTGGGTATGGATCTCCCTCTGCCCCCAGAAAGTGTTACCTAGTTCTTCATTTATTGTCATGGTGCATCTCCAGACTTTATTTCTAAGTAAAGTTGTAGAATCATACTGTCATTGTCACTGTCCCTGTCCTCCCGTTGTTCATCAATTTGCTCGAGTGGGCCCATAACGTCTCCATTGTGACACTTGTTACTGTGTTTGGCATATCGAATATGTCACGGGGAGTTTGCCAGGCTTTGCCGTGTGGGCGAGATACTCTCGGTAGCTTGCCGGGATCTCCAAGAGGGGCAGAGGAATCGAACCCAGGTTGGCCGGGTCGGCCCCGTGCAAGGCAAATGCCCTACCTGCTGTGCGATCGCTCCTGTCCCAGAATCATACATATAATCCTATTTGCATAAAAGAAAAAGGGAAAAAAAGCCCAAGTATACCTGACTGTGCACACAGACAAACTGACAGTATGAAGAAACATTTCCACAGTATGGCAGAGTCTCCTGCCCCTGCTCCTGGCTGTCCTCGCTGGGGCCCCTTGGAGGGGAGCGGGTTGAGTTTCCCTCCCCGCCCTGACCAGGGATCCGGCAGCCAAAGACCTCCAAAACCAGCCACCACCATGCTGAGATCACACTCTACACGCATGAAGGTACCGGCAGAGGAACAAAGGCATGCAGGTCCCGGGGCTGAGATCTCCAAGCCTGCTCGGATCGGGGCTGAGCATCCTCCACCCAGATCCTCCAAATTCCAGTAGGCAGGGGTCACACCCACCAACTGGCCCCCTGGCGCCGTGTAATCCCATGAACGGCCAAGACTGAGAGACTATAAAACCCAGCTCCCGGTAGAGAACAGTGCAGAGTCTCTTGCCCCCGCTCCTGGCTGTCCTCGCTGGGGCCCCTTGGAGGGGAGCGGGTTGAGTTTCCCTCCCAGCCCTGACCAGGGCTCCGGCAGCCAAAGACCTCCAGAACCAGCCACCACCATGCTGAGACCACTCTCCACACGCATGAAGGTACCGGCAGAGGAACAAAGGCATGCAGGTCCCGGGGCTGAGATATCCAAGCCTGCTCGGATCGAGGCTGAGCATCCTCCACCCAGATCCTCCAAATTCCAGTTGGCAGGGGTCACACCCACCAACTGGCCCCCTGGCACCGTGTAATCCCATCAACGGTTAAGACTCAGAGACTATAAAACCCAGCTCCTGGACATCTTATTATCTCATTCCTACTTTGGACAAACTGGCAGGCTACCGAATGTAACCTGCCCACACGGCAGAGTCTGGCAAACTCCCCGTGGTGTACCCAATATGCCAAATACCAGTAACAATGATGGGTCTCATTCTCCTAACCCTGAAAGAGCCTTGAATATGGCACTTTTTAAAAAATCTCAGGGCTAGGACGAAGGAGACGTTACTGGGGCCTGCTTGAGGCAATCAACGAACAACAGGATGGTCGTGATCGTGATCGTGGGGGTATGTGGTAGGCACCATGGGAAGTACCTAACCTGATTCTTTCAATAGCCCTATGAGCCAGCTTCTTATTAAGGCTGTTTCACAAAGAAGGAAACGCAAATCGGAGAAGTTACTGAGTACGCTGTTTGGTGCCAGAGTCAGAACAGAATTGCAGGTTTGTGTTCCTTTTGTTTGTTTTGGGAGTCATACCTGGAGGTGTTCAAGGGTCACTCCTGGTGGTGCTTGGAGGACCATATGTGGAACCAAGGACCGAACCAGTGTGGGCCACATGTAGGGCAAACACCTGAGTCTCTGAGCTCTAGGTTCATAACCACCATCTCATACTGTCTCTTATATGTACAAGAGACACAGATTCAGACGATCTGAGCATTTGATCTGAGAATTGAGACTTGAGGTACTGTTTCCAGGAATTCTTTATTTTTTGATTCTTTCTCTTTAATGAGATGCCATTAAAAAAAAAAGACAAATGAGACACATATTAAGAAATTCTCTTATGCATTGCCTTAGCTCTGATACCTGTCACTAATTATGAGGAACAAAATCTAACGGGAGATAAGATCTTATTTTGCACAGAATTATAAATTAGTTCTTTTATAGTCAGCATATCAATTATTTCATGATGTTCTTTGTGGAATACCGCAATGCCAAATGACCCCATGTGAGAGCCATTAGCTTAGTTTACATGTCTGGGTGGCTTCATTGGAGATGCAGCTAAAAATAGCTGGTGTACACAGGCAATAAATAAATTGAAAAAGGAGCTATGCATAACTACAAACTCAGATTCTAGGCGGCTGTGAAAAAATGAAGGTCAGCTGGAAAAGTATTAAAATTGACATGGACTCTTATTTATGAAAATAAATCTTGCTCCTGAAATAGTAGTTTCTCCCCGGCACTTTAAAAATCATGCAGACACTTTAGAAAGGACCGAAGCCTGGCTATCCCCCACCCCCATCCCCAAATCAGCAGCTCTACTAAATAGAACATTCTGGAGATGGAACCTGGGCACTGGTATGCTTTATAAATTCCAGTGTGCTTGTATGTTTTAGAAACTCTGTGATTCTAAGGCACAGCGGGACCAACACTGCTTTCCAATGAACAAATTTTCTACCACGAGATACATGCGACTTCAATAAATAAAAGTAATGTTCCTTCTTGCTAATTAAAGGAAGCAGAGGTAGCGTGTCTCAAATAAGCTTCTCTTCGTAGACTGTTCCATTACGACTATTAACCTTGGGGGGCAGGGAGAGATGCAGGGGAGAGGGGGTCACCCCCAGGGGCTCAGGAAGGAGAAGCTCACACTCTCTTCTCAAGCACGAACACTCCCTGAGTGATTCTGAACCACTGACAGATGTGCTTTGAAAGGGAAATTGGCACAAGCGAGCAGAAGGTCAAAAAGCAAACGTCTAGACAGCAGCCTGAAATCTGTCCTGCACGGGTGCTAGTCTTACCTGTTGGAGCACCCAGCAAGGTCTTACCTGTTGAAGATGGCCTGCAGGGCCTCCTCGAAGCGGCGCAGCACCTTGGGAGGGCTGGGCCACTTGACGTGCTTGCCATGGTCACGCATGCTGCGGACGCCCTGGAAGCGCTGGGCCACCTCCTGGATGTAGGACTTGACTTTGTAGTGCCGGTAGTACCTGAGGATGGTCAGCGCCGCCTTGGTCCTCTTGTAGCGCATGCGGGCCAGCGTTCCCCGCCACACCTTCACATGGGCAGAGAGAAACGAGAACGTTGCTGCAGGGGAGTGAAACGACTTGGGGGACCACAGAAGCGCTCCTGCTTCCACTTGCTGGAAGGATTTCCACGGGGCAATAAGGAACACAGCCAGAGCCGAGGCCTGGAGATACCAGCAGCCACCTGGCCGGAGCTGCCGGGCTGGTCCTTCCCTATGCTGGCCTAGCGTGGGTGGAGGGTGGGGTGTGGGGGACAGTCTGGCTTTACCTTTAGGGCCATGAAACGAAGCAAGCAAAAGTACAAAACATCCCTGAGAGGGGCCAGAGTGATCAGACAGTGGGGAGGGCGTTTGCCTTGTATGTAGCTGACCCAAGTTCGATCCCTAGCATCCCATATGGTCCTCCAAGCATCGCCAGGAATGATTCCTGAGTGCAGAGCCAGGAGTAATCCCTGAGCATCACTGGGTGAGACGCAAAAAGACCCCAAAAGCCAGAATATATATATCACTGTCACTGTCCTCCCATTGTTCATCGATTTGCTCGAGTGGGCCCAGTAGTATCTCCATTTTGAGACTTGTTGTTACTGTGTTTGGCATATCGAATACGTCACAGGTAGCTTGCCAGGACTCTCCAAGAGGGGTGGAGGAATTGAACCCGGCTGGGCCATGCTGGCTGCACGCAAGGCCATGCTACTGCTGTGCTATCGCTTCAGCATATATATATATATATATATCACAGTCATGGTCCTCCCGTTGTTCATTGATTTGCTCAAGCGGGCCCAGTAATGTCTCCATCATAAGACTTGTTGTTACTGTGTTACTGTGTTTGGCATATCAAATACATCATGCGTAGCTTGCCAGGCTTTGCCGTGTGGGTGAGATACTCTTGGTAGCTTGCCGGGCTTTCCGAGAGGGGCGGAGGAACCGAACTCGGGTTGGCCATATTGGCTGCGTGCAAGGCAAACACCCTACCACTGTGCTATCGCTCCAGCCCAAATATATATATATATATATATATGTATATATATATGCACACACACATCTATATGGATAAATATTTGAAGACTGTTGAAAGGAAGCAAGATCTTTTTGAATCAAAAGGCATCACAACATATCATTCTCTTATGAGACCTCATTTTATACAGATGATACACTGGCCACCAGGGGAATGTCAGGGTGGATTTGCAAAGTGCTGTAGCTACAGTCCCTGCCTGTAGCTCTCTCCTTAAGTGTGCTATGTAAACTCCCAAGGATTTATTTGTACTCCTGAAGAAGGAGTAGAAAAGATGATGAATAGCACGTGAATCTTTTTTTTTTTAAGGTGCTCAGAAATCAACAAGACAACATATAAAATTTCAGTGCCAGCTTTAGCCAAATTTGGTGAAGTCAAAGAAATTTATAAATTTCCAGGTACTTGTCTCAGCTTCTTGAATCTGGGGGTAATCGTCATGGTGGGTTCTTTCCCTCTTAATTCCCTGGGACAAAGCCCCGTCTTTTCTTCTTAGCTAGGACATCCTCCCAGACCCCGCAGATCTCCTCCTGCTCCCACAGACACGCAGCACGCTTGGATGGGTGTTCATAGCAGCTGCCTCACTGCTCCGAGCTTTCGGCGGTGGGATGCTTCCCTCCCTTGTCTCTGGCCTCCAGGGACAATAATCTCCAACCCTGAGCTCAAAGCCCACCGCAGGGGCTCTCCAGACTCCCTCCTCAGGCTCCTTTCATTTCTCCTTCCATCCCCATCTGCGCCCACTCATTTTCCAGAAAAGCGCATGCCGTGCCTCTTTGATTCGGTCACCTAAGGTCTGTCTTCACGCAGACTTGTAACTGGCACCATGTGCTGGCACGGTTCTCCTTTCTCAGCCCACGGCATGAACAAAGATAGATTTGTTTGTACACTCCCTGGGAGGGGATCATTAAGGGACCCTAAAGAGGACCGAGTGGGTTCAGGGAAACCATGGCACCGAAGGGAAACATGCCATGCAGGCAATTTGTATGTGTGTGCAGAGGGGGTGCTGGCAATTGGTGAGGGGGACATAGACACAGGATGTACAAAGGCAACGAGGCAGCAAGAGCCGACTCGCTCCCGCATGTGGCACCAGCACCACAGCCTTCTCGTCAGAAAGCCGCTTCCTTGTAGCCAAGCCCATGGCGCAGATGGTTTCGTTACGCCTCCACCCAAGTGCTAAATTAAAGGTCCCTTCTTTAGTATCTTAAAAAACCCAAAGAATACAATTAGAGGGTGGAAGTCTGTGATTCAATTTCTGAAACAAAACACATTTTTAAAGTTTCAAATCCTGCTTTTTTCTTTAATAAGAGGAAGGATATTAAGACCCCTTGGGGCCACATTTATATAGGAAATCAATCTTTAATTTTCAAGGAGTGTGTGTGAGAGTTTTTATTGAAATGTTTTCAGTTAGAACCTCTCATACTTTGGAAAAAATTACTCAGTTTTTTTTTTAATGCGTAGGTTTTTTATGTTTAAAATTTCAACTAACCCAAGCTCCCCTTTCTGCCCTGTAGTCTCATTTCACAAAGTGACAACTGCTTCTGGTATTTACCGTCACACTTATAAATAAGATACAGCATTGTTATTTCTTAATCCCTTTAAACACTATGCAAAATACAGGAACTGGGTGAGTTAGTCCTCAAACCATTATTCTTACCTCTCCTCCACATCTCAGAAATATTACATCAGAAAATTCAAGGTTGATAGTGTTGATCTTATTACAAAAATGGTTTCTATTACATCAAAGTTTGGTTTATCGCTATGTTAAGGCATGGCATGGTTACCCTCCCTTCGCTTTACCATGTAAATTTGTTTTCACCTGTGCTTGAAAAGTTTGCTTTATTTTCATTATACCTCCTGCAAATTTTTGCCAAGTGGCCTAATGACCCAATCAAGTTATAAACAGTAATTTGCCCCATTGTAAAGCATAGGAAGGATGAATCTTTGCTTTACTCTACCCATGTCCTCAGGGGCTCACGCCCCCTGCATATCTTCATTCTGGGTCTTTGTGACTAAACTTCTCTCATGGGCCCCCAGAAGCCTGAGCTGATAGTTTTCTTCCCCCCACCCCCCGGAAACTGCTGAGAAAGGGTATATATCAGGAGGGTTAAATAGAGGCTTAGGATTTGATCGTACCATATTTATTGTCATACCATATTTGATAGGGTTCAAATATGGTAACACCTACGAGGGCGATTAGAGGTCGCCCCAAAAGCCTCTATCCCTCTCGGAAAGACTGGCAAGCTACCGAGAGTATTCCACCTGCACGGAAGAGCCTGGCAAGCTATCCATTATGTATTCGATATGCCAAAACCAGTAACTACAACTGGTCTCATTCACCTGACCCTGAAGGCTTCACCGATATGGCAGCACTGAGAAGGATGAGAAAGGAGAGGCCAATAAAATCTCAAGGCCGAACTAGGCTGCCACAACGAAGGAAGACAAAAATGATTGTCTGTACTTTCAATGCTCGTACGCTAGCATCAGATGCATCCATCGAGGACCTGATGATTAAGTGAAGGATTTGATCCAGAGTCAGCGGCATGTAAACCAAGTGCCTTCTGCATTCCTTCACTGATGCAAATGAAATGGATGTAGCTTAAGATTGTTTTATGACATTCTGGAATGTACTGTAGGAGTTTGGCTTGGACAGGAGACATATTTATTTATTTTTGCTTTTTTGGTCACACCGGTAATGCACAGGGGTTACCCCTGGCTCATGTGCTCAGAAATTACTCCTGGCAGTGCTCAGGGGAATATGGGATGCTGGGAATTGAACCTGGGTCGGTCATGTGCAAGGCATATGTCCTACCTGTTATGCTATCGCTCCAGCCCCGAGACATGTTCTTTAGTTCATGTCTTGTACAGCTGTTCTTGCTTTGGCTGTAATAATCATTCCTAGAAGATTCTTCCTCTATTCTCTGTCCACTTACTGGCATGTAAGGAGCCCGAAGAAGGTAAAGCTTCTTGACCATCCTGCCCCAGGGAAGCCTTCCCAGAGGCAGAAAGGAGGCCAACAGGGGTGTGGGTTATTCCAAGCTCCCTCCAGAGTATTTTGCATTTAATGCAACACCTTCCACAGTGGTGAGACTTGAGAATTCCTTCCAGTTTCTCCCCAGGTTCTATTCTTTGAAGAATATGCTCCATTTAGCTTCTGAGCATTTTTCTTTCAGTTTGGGCCATCTTTTCTTTTGGACCCAAATATGACTGCTCTCAGAGTTTATGGACTGAGGCTGTATCTTTTCTTCGTTTCAGGATTTTATGATGTGATATTCATTATTTTTAACTTTTGGTAAATTTCAGTACATGGGGAGAAATGGAGTCTTGTGAGCCCGCAACTATACCATTAAGTTTACCAAGAGCCCTAGCTGGGCTTTGTTTGCTTTGTGGTAACAGAGAAAAGGGAGCCCCGAGAAACCCCAGAGGAAATGATGCAATGTGGAAGCAGATTCATGGATTATCCTGTCTAATCTAAGCGTGTTTGAACAGACAGGTTCTCACAAAAGTCTGTGTGTCTGTATGGTGGAAGGGTTGTTGCTGATCTTCCCCCCAAGGAAGGCTGGAACTGAAGCTTTAAGGCTGATTTGTTTTCTTTTCTATTTCCCCTTTGGTTGAAAGATGCTTTAAAATGGTTAGGTTTTCCAGGTGCCATGCAAATCTTAATCCCTATGGCTCTGTTGCCTAATGACGGCATGTCAGAAAGCAGAAAATTAAACGTTATATCCAATAAGCAAATGCTTAATACTATTTGCATGTGCCTTGAAAGGCTCAGTGGGCCAGAGAGTCCAAAGCTTCCCCCTCTCTCCCCCTGCACTAAAATGATATTAACAGTTGGCATGGAACCAATCAGCTCCTGTGCTCATGAGGGTGACAGCCAGGAGCTGAAGGTGTCCTGTGGGGGAGCAGGAATGGTCAGCAGGCAGTGGGCACACGGCTGTGGGCAGGTTGCCAAGGGAAGGGGGCACAGGCTGTGCCAGCTGAGAGGATGAAGCAGAGAGGCTGGCTCCTGAGAGAGGGCCGTAGG